ATGCTTAATAAAAATGTAATATCCATGTTGCAAATCTAAAATAGAAGAAAACTTATGACAATCTCAATATAAAGTAATTATCAGAAAATTATGAAATTAACCCATAAACGCTTCGTAGGTGTTCGTTTTGATGGTGGTTTTGCTGTCTGCCATCATTCAAGTTTTTTTTTGGTACATACATGCCTCATTTTTTCTCCCTTCATTATTTGTCTTGGCTTAACTTTTTCTTCAAATTTGACATTTATTGTGTATTCATCTTCATTCTCCCGTTCATTTTCTCTCTCTCTCTCTCTGTCTCTCTCATCTTTGTTATGTTGCCGATTTTTATTTTTTTGACATTTTACTGCTTGATTAAAAGCCATTGTATGGCATCGTTTTGGAATATGAATCCCATCATCCATGGCTTAGGCTATCAAAATGGTACGTAGAGTGTGCGAATTGTGTGAAGTCGAAATAATACGCGATAAAGCGATGCAAAGAAAATTCGGAATGGAATGAGAGGCACTTGATTTCCCTGATATGTGCGGCAAATGAATCTTTTTCACTAATCATCTAAAAATTGTTGGTTACTTCACCGTGATTCCATTGCGATTGTTCAAAATGGCTTATCATGGCAGCCGGTTTTTTGTGGCAGCAGTTAAGAAAAACGAACCTCAAGACATATTTAAAGAAGAGATCATACAAGCACATGCAAAATAATAAATCCATTTAAATTCATTCGATTGAACTGCGATATGTGCTCCAAGCAAAAATTTATACGAAGAAAAAGAACTAAAATTCGTGCACGTGGTCTACATGGTAGTTCGATACGGAGCATTGGGCACACGCTACTCTCTTTCCCGCTCTCTCTCCCTCTCTCGTTCAACAAATGTGACCCTTTTGACGCGCGTTGAATTTTTCGGTTGATAACCGTCATTTGTGCGATGGATGTGTTTAAAATTAATAATAATTAACGCCGTTTTAGACTGTCGCTCATTCTTTTGTTTGATTGTGTTGTTTTTTTTGTATCCATCTTCTCTTTATAATAATCTAATCAACATTAGTTATAAGCATGTTTATTTGGTGTGCTTCTCATGAATTCTCTCAAAATAGATATAGAATCGTTTTCAGTTTGGTGGCCGATACTCGATTTTGATCGTCTATATATTGCCACACATTCAATAGATCGATTTAGATGCATTCCAAATTCCAAACACCCAATAGAAGGAAAGTATTGACCGCAGACCTGAAGTCACCTTCTGGGTGGTCGGCATTTTACAAAGGGATTTTTTTGTGCATTTGGCGTCTTTTTATTGTTGTAAGCTTAAATGTGTATTTCATGTTTTTTTATATTCTTTTCTATTCATTCGATTTTTTTTCTTCCACACATCGTACCGCATTCATTTGGTTTGATCATTGGCTTTTTGTCTCTCTCGTTCATCATACTTCTATTGATCATTTCACACCACATATATTTAAATGAATCAAAAGCCGTCAACTAAAGAAAACCGAAAGGGCCAACTCATTGCCTGATTATTGCAGTGATTATGTGAATGAACAAATTACGTACAAACGAAAGTCGCCTTGGATTTAATTCATAATACATGTAAAAGGAATTTTTTTTTATTCGCCAACCTCTCATACATAAGCATTTGGGAATGTGACTTTGAACTAGAACTTTTCTATGCTATAAAAAAGCAAGAAATTCCGTTTTTTGATGCGTTTTGGAAGAGCAAATTTATCGTTGCGGTAGATCAAGCTCGACATCGTTTCCTTCAAAATTATTCTTTTGAACATTTCATTGAATATTGTGTGAATAGAAAACGTTAACGCGTTGATCATAAATAGATTTTCATTTCAACATTATTCTGAAATCAACTATATTTCTTATAATCCTTTTGTCCTTTAAACTGGCAAAAAAAGTTTCTCACTTTAAAATGTATCTAGAAATGTAAAAAGAGAATGATATGTGAGAGGGTGTGAAATAGTCAGTCGAAATGTTAACCTGAAATTTGTATATGCAGTACCATGAAACATTATTCAATCCATCAAAGTCGCATGTGCATTGGTGAAAGAGTTCTTACCACTTTTATTCAATTGAAATTGTTTGTATTCCTTGGGAATTTAACCATCCATATTCACAAATTCAATAAGAAAAGGACATGCACATATTAAGAGAGAACCAAAGACTTGTTCGAGGATGTTAAACATCGTATCACTTCACGTTTAACATCAACAATCAAGTGGCATTTTCTTTTGGAACCGTACATATAATCACTTAAAGATCGCCTCAAGGGACGCAATCACTCAAAATCACACATGGTATATTATGGATCACTCTTCTCCCGGGCATGACATTCAATGACTACTGATTTTGTTGTTATTGTTGCAGTTGTTGTTTTTTTTGTGCTGCCGATAGAGTTTTGTTTGTTTGTTCAATGTGATTTCTGTCTTGTGTGTGATGTTCTGCTTTTAAGGTACTTCAGTGACTTGAATGCTCAATAAAAAAATTATCATCATGCAATATAATAGACGAAAAGTGCGTTTTTTGTTACTGCATGTGTCAATATGCTTTTTTATGCTTTTATAGCTCTTGATGTATGAGTTTGTCGAATTTTTGTCACTAAAATCAATTTCGTCGAAAACATTGAATGAATAAACTAACTTGATTCGTACCTGAATGGGGTTGTACGATAAAGATCTAATTCGTCATATTGAATTGATTTGTCGGCTACTTTGCAATAAATGTAAATTTTATGGCCGTACGAGGAAGAAAATGATGGTAAAAAAATATTTATAACGAACCATATCCAAAGACATGCAATAAAGATAGATAGGTATTCATCAAACTACCGTATTTAACACACTTCGTTCGGCTTCCAAGTAATTGAATTTTTTTTGTAAATACGTTTCCTTTTAAGATGCCAAAAACAATACCTGCACACACATAGAAAATTTATGATGTTGATAAGTGTTTATTTTTTTATTTTTCACAACCAAATTGTGTGTGTGTGTGTTAAAGAGAGAGAGAGAGAGAGAGAGAGAGAGAGAGAGAGAGAGAGAGGGAGAATGATCGAGAATGTTGCTAAACAATTGAATCCGTGTTGAATTCAACATATGGAACTTTATGCGAACGCCATGGGGTCTTTTAAAGCTGTTGTAAAACTTTTTCGATATAATAAAACCCAACAGCACCGTGTTATATCAATGATATACGTTTGATGTGTATGCGCTTGGTTTATATTAAATAGCTCACTCATTAATTTGGAGCATACCAACTGATACCAACGACCACTCAAAGTTTTTTTTAAAACTATAATCTACAATATTTTAATATCAGATGTGCTCAACACGTCGAAATCTGTAAACTGAAGGAGTTTAGAAAAAAAAGATTCTTATTTTAAGATTTTTATTTATATAGAGTAACCAAACATTTATTTTTCACCGTTTTATAAATCATTTCGTTAAAATTTTATGAAAAAAAAGTTTGAGAACGATAGAAAAAATTGTTACTTTTTTGGTTTTCATAAGTTGATTGATGGAAATTCAGATGTTTTGATATCATTTTGTATTCAAGATTCGAAAAAAAAATGATATCCTGACCAAGAACGAAAAATACGTTTTCCGGAAGAGAAAGCATGAATTATGATTTATAATGAATCATAATTTATGAATAAACAAAGTCGATTCACACTAATCACATATTAATTATATTTGTGTGAAATGCGTTGCCAACTTCTGAACAAGATAGACGGCTGAAGTATTTCTATTTAAATGGTGGTTAGTAAAGCGTTTAAAAATGAACAAATTGACATCAAAAACCCTTGCCACTTGTGTGTGTAATTAGATTCTTATGTTAGATTTTTTTTGTTCACGTGTTTGGCAATTAATCTGTAATTTATGCGGATCAAGTTTGTGCGTTTTTAGATTAGCAGCAATCATTTTTGACCATGTACTTTCCTTAGTTTCAATGAGTGCTACCGTTTCACACACTTATTCTAAAAAAGAACACATTTTTTTCATTCCTAATTCATATGCCAAAAGAAGAAGAAGACGAAGAAGAAGAAGAGAGGATTATAGGGTAAGAGCGAACGAAAAACATAAATTTGATGTTTTTGATTAAGAGAATTTGCTTAAATAATATTCATCTGCATAATTTTGTTTTTCCCGAAAATGTTGTTGTTAATGATCTCACACATAATAATTTCAATGTGAAATGTTACGCTTTAACATCATGTGAATGAGTAAAATGAAATAAATTAAAATAAACTGTACTTAGATTATACGCGAGAGAACAGAAATGTGTGTAGTTTACATTTTTTTTTTCAAGTGCAATCGTAAACTGCATTAACTCCACCCGTTAAATGCATTTCAACCAAAAAGAAAATGCATTTCGATCGTCCAATCGCTTAGTCCGTCGGCATGATCATAGCAGTTGAAAATCATTGTCGGCACACCGTTTTAAATATAAAAACTATCGTCGCTAAAAATCAAAGCAATTGACGGGGCGGAGTCAGCTAGTGTTATACTAGTTGATAATGAATGTTTCACAGAAGAAAAAAAAATATATAAATGTATTGAACAACAAAATATATAAAACAAACGCCGAACAAGCAGTGCCCACCTCTTTTTTCGATTTTGCTTTTGTGTTTCCTTCCACACTGATTGTAACCGTTGTTGAATATGAACCAAGGAATTGTGTGTTGGGAAAACGATACCGAATATAACAAAAGGCAGTAGCGAATGGTTGAAAAACATGAAATATGCCAGAAAAGAGAGGAACGATTCGAGCCGACGATAGGCGATCGTGATCGGTTTCATTTCCGACATTTTACACATACATAGAAATAAATGTTTACCTACACTCTCGAATCTATGTTTGAGAATGAAGAAATGCATGGTATGAATACACACGCACGCATACAATTGCACAAACTTGAAACGTATTGAAAACAGAAAGAAAGCATACATAACATAAAGCAAAGAACAAGCAATACAACTTAGTTGCGCACACGAGAAAGATCGGTTGACTTTAAGACGACTCATACGTATTTATTCCGACGAGGATCAAGACGCGCAGAGAAAAAGTAACCTGTTGGTAAACGAACCAAGTCAGTAAGGTGCGGTCAGTCCTACGAGAAACATCACTTCAGCAACAGTTTTTTTTTCTTCTCAATTTTAACTTGAAAATATTCAATCACATACATATTTTTTGGGAACTTTATTTTTTTGCTAAAAATTTGTGCCGTGCATCATATAGAAATCATAAAATAAATACAGTGTGCATCATCATAACCAAATCATCTTATTATCCAAGTGATAACATAAAGTGTAAAAAGTGTAAAAAATACGAAAAATTTGTGAATACGCGTGCGCAACAAGATGGTTTCATCATTTAACATGTCGCAATATATGCCTGGATATCCTTTTGGTGGTAAGTTAAAAAAAAGAAGTTTACTTAATTATTTGACAAAAAAATTACTCGAAAATAGTGGAATTCACGTGGAATCACATTTTCCACCATTCGCATGAATCGCATTAAATGGCGATTCCATTATTTTCAAGTTGGGTGATTCTTTTTTTTTTTTTAAAGTGAATTCAATTCAATCTGTAATGTTTCGTTGCCTTTTCTTCAATTCAATCAATATTTATTGAAAGTTTTATTCCACATTCAAAACATACAAACGTATTTACAATGAACGAATATATTTGTTACACTTTTTCATTGGCTACTACATTTTTTTATGCGTCAGTAGTCCATTGTGTGTATATCGATTTAATTTTCTTTATTTTTTTTTAAATTTACTTTCCACTACGATGTCGGCGAACTATTTTCTTTTTTCTATTGTACATTTCATGTTTAGCAAGGTTTGCAATTCAATTCAAGAGATCAACTTTCTGAAAAAGAAAAAGAAAGAAAAACGTTTAGAAGGTGCAATGATCGTCACAAAGAAAACAAAGACGGACAAGAAAATGATTTCAATTAAGTTTTCACCAGTGAAATGAAGCAATATCTTGGTGTGCGGTATATTTTGTTCCCATTCAAATTTAATCATCCAAAAAAAAAAACGAAAGAAATTAAGTCGAAAAAACAATTGACGTCTGATATGAAATATTTAAAGGCAGCTGTTGTAGGAATCGTTTGATTTCACATCTTAAGCCATCGAACGATTGAATAATATTTGGGAATGGTATTTTTCTCACGTGGTCATAATTGATCTTAATTGTTGATCCTTTTTCAAATCATTATTGCATTGAAGTGCTACAATAAAACACACTCTAAACAGGTTGATCCTCTTCTCATGAGATAACGATGAATAGAATAACAAGTATTTTAAAATCTTAACAGAACATCAAATGTGGAATATACTAAGAAACTACCGAAATTTGATAAATAAAAACATTGACACACACACAGAAAAATCATTGAATCATTGTTATTCTCAAAAATCCATATTGGATTGAGCTCAAGCCACATAAATATATGCCAAGCAACAATTGAAAATAGAGGAATTAAAAAAATTGTGAATAGCCTTGATTGTACAATTGATATGTTTTGTATTGTGCATTTGGTTTTCTCTCTCTCTCTCTCCCTCCCTCCGATTCTTTGATTTCATTATGGAATGTTGGGTCATAGGCCGTTCAATGTTTGAATGTTCGAACATTCATACGCCCTTCAATATTTCAAAAATGAAAAAAAGAGCATGCTTCACATCTTGCCGATATGTCAGCTTTCGAAAGATGAAGAAAAATTACTTCATGAAAAGATCATCCAATTCATTCTATTATCATTCAGCTTCTAGTGCACCATTTTTGTTGGCATTTTCTTTGCCTTTGAAATGTCCATTAAATTGTTTGTCATTTGTGAAGAAAAGCGAGAGAACAATGCACACATGTATTTGACCCATTTCTTTTCTTATGTGAACGGACGATTATACAAACAATATTAGCTTGAGCTACTCGATTTGAGCCGTTTATTGAAACTGTTAAATGTAAACAAACAATCGAAGAATATTTCAAACAAGCAACCTGTATGCAGGTTATATTTTATGTTTTTTGTGACATTTTTGAATTTTGAAGGGATTTATTTTCTTCAAAAGACAAACACACACACAAAGTATTTCAAAGATATTCGTTAAATGGTATCAAGCGCATTTAATAGAATTGTCATTTTAAGTTTTGTATTCATATTGATTAAAATGAAATCACTTACAATTGTTATTGCATAAGTCCAATGATGTTTAGTTAAAATCTCTTTGTTAATCATTGTTCTTCAATTTGTTTTCGTTTCGGTTATTTTTTTTATTGAATATTAGGTCAAGGAAGATATAATCAGCTCGGTGGCAGCTTCATAAATGGCAGACCATTGCCACACCAAAAGCGTGTACAAATCATTGAAATGGCTGCAAAGGGAATTCGACCATGTGAGATTTCACGTACATTACGAATCTCGCATGGTTGTGTATCGAAAATTTTGAATCGTTACCAAGAAACTGGTTCCGTTCGTCCGGGCGTCATCGGTGGATCAAAGCCTCGTAACACAACACCTGAAATTGAAGCAAAAATTTTGGAGATTCGTAAACAAGATCCAAATATCGACACATGGCAGATCAAAGACAAGCTCATTCAATTGGGCATTTGTGACAAAAATTCAGTGCCATCCGTTACATCGATCAGTCGTTTGTTACGCGGTGGTCGTTCTAGCAGTTCATCGAATGGTTTAGTTGGTAAGTGTTTATTTTTACTTGATATTAAATTGGCGATGTGTCTTAAATGAACTTTGAATTGTATACATTCGATCATCAACCTCCTAAGATTCAAATATAGTACAATTTTCAATTTCAATGTGTGTTTTCTTTTTCTTCATTTTCTTCGAATAGGTAATTCTTCATGCGGCGATGATAGCTCTGGTGAAAGTGATATTGATTTTGAACCGGGTTTGGCTTTGAAACGCAAACAACGTCGGTCACGTACCACATTCACAAATGAACAATTGCAAGAGCTTGAAGCATCGTTTTTAAAAAATCATTATCCCGATGTGTATTCACGTGAAGAGTTGGCACAAAAAACGAAACTAACCGAGGCACGCGTTCAAGTTTGGTTTTCAAATCGACGTGCACGTCTACGCAAAAACTCAAATCCACATGAAATGTCACCGTTGCCGGAGGGCCTATCAAATTTACCATTGCATTTTTCACCACAATTTCCACAACATCTTTCGCTGCCCGATGGTGGTGCACCAACAATGCCATTATCATCATGGTCATCATCTGGAATAAATTATAATATGAGCTCACAACAAGCTAGTGCTCATCATTTAAACTCGTTACAATACAATCCAAACACTTACGGCCACCATTTTAATACATCACTTTTATCATCAACAAATAATAATACATCATCACTAAGTCCACCATCAAGCACTTCGGCCAGCCCACATTCATTGAGCCCACCAAGCAGTACACCAAACAGCATTGGACACGTACCATATTCAACGTCAATCGATTCGACAAATCAATTGTCATCCGGTTTTAGTTTGGCCTCATCGAATTTAAATCAATCCAGTACATACAATAATCTGGCACCAGTTTCCAGTGGATACCAAACACATGCCCATTCCACAATTGTCGATAGCAGCCATTGGCGTTCACATGCACCACGTTCACTTGAATGGGATAGCTACGGGTAAATATCAATTTCATTCAATCACTGCCATTTTCCGAAGTAATTGCGCAACAATTTTCCATTTGTGCAAACACAAACACAAACACACACACACATACACACACACGAACGCATTTATCCTGATTTAAAGTAATTCACAAGCGATTACTTGCAAATTGCTTAATTTTGAATGTGATGTGCTTTTTCCACCTTTTAAAATATGTACGCTTAATAACAGTTGAATAATAGTGATTTTACGATTGAAATTAATGTAAAATTGTTTTCCCTTTTGTGTAATTTATAGTCCGTTCTTTCCAAGCAACATGAGCACATATCAAACATCAAGCACATCCACATCGCCAGCCGGTTCATCAATCGCATCTAGTATCAGTGATGTTAAACCAATCTCATCCAATTACCCATATTTCGGTCAGTTTAATTTCGATTGGAAAACCGACGGACACATCTAAAATGTAAATGTCTTTTTCCCCCGATTTTCAACTAGTGTTATAAGTTAAGAATCGACATTTTTCGACGATTCCGATTTGATACCATTATCTTTACCGTTTTAGTAGCAGTTTAATGTTGAACTTAGTCATAAAAACGAGTAGATTTATTTCGTTCATCAAATTTAATTAGAAATTTAATTGCTTCTAAGTTATTTTTTTTACAACAATTCACACATTTCATCTAAAAATATTTGTGAGAATTATTGCAAACCACTCGACTACATTTCTACTTAAAATTACCGCCTTATGTACACTATTATACTTATGTACTATTATGATTATTAGATTATAGTTTCGTTTTAAGTGAAAAAAATCGACCAAAATTAAAATATATCTACTTCAAGTGTTATTAATATTTTAGAATAGCGTAGTACAAGAAAAAATGTGTCTATTTTGAAAAAGGAAATATTGTGCTAAGATTTAGCATTGTTAATTTAAGATTTTGAAAAACCAATAAAGATCTATCGAAGAAAATCGAAATAAAATGTTTTCAATTCTTTCCATTTGAAACGAAGTTTCTCTGTGTTGCACCCTCCAGTAAGTTAGAAGTCGTTTTATTTCTTTGTTTCAGCTGGCCCTAGTGTACGTGCACATTCAGAAGCAGTGAATCATATTTTATTAAGCACCAACCTATAAAATGAACATTTATCAAGTAATAAAACAGTAAATAGGAATTACTTCCACATTACGTGCAAACCGATTTAGAACCATAACAAATGACCACACGTTTTCGTAATACTCTCTTTATCGTATATCTTCACACCTATTGATTTGGCCACTTGTAGATGGAATACATGTTTGGTTTTAATTACATGAATATAAAGGCATTACATTTCATCATTTCTGATTGTTTACACTTGATGTATGCCAGAAGTCGAAAGTTGATACACGAAAGCGGAAATGAATGAAGCTTTTCATAATGAATGGGATCGTTTTTTTTTAATTCGTCCATACAACTGCTATTAATTCACGAAGACGTGCGCGTTCCCCAATTGACTGCAAAGAAAAACTTCAACTCATGGCGATGATGCATTTCATTCAAAAAAACGAAATCACCGAGGAATGCTGCAACTGAATGATCGATACCGTCAATTTTTTTATTTCAAAGTCAGATGATTTCGAATAGAACATGGGCAATTTCCAGAGCAACCAAGAAGTTAAATTGAAATAATCGAGATTTTGTACCTACTAGGATTCTTCCATTTTAATAATCTAGTCTCAGATCATGGATGTTGTTGTTGTGTTGGAAGACGGTTCTTTTTATTCGTTAACTATTTTAATGTTGGTAATAAGCTTACCATGAGGTACTTTACAATTACGTTTTAATGGAGAAGATTTATTGAAGCCGCACGCATGTGTGTACATCAGATGAAAAGTGAAAAGGATAGAAAGAGTTGAATGAAATAACAAAGAGAAGAAAAAAAAGAACAGAAACCAACAAGACGAACATTAATTATTATGTTTTATCATTTTGTTTTCGTTTCCCTCCCGTTTTTTTCTCTCATGACGGCGTTTTTTTTTTTTTGTTTTCTTCACTATTTGATGTAAATAATTATAATCTAACCACGCCTCAAATGCCACAACGCACATAATTTGAGCTGTCAGATGTGTCCGAACTTATGTAAATAATATACACCGAAATGAGTAATTACCAAACGAAGTGCTTGGTACGAAGAAAAAAAAGTAAATGTTTACGGTAAGCATATTGGCCCCCGAAAATGTCGGTGTCAAAAAAAATGATACATTTTTCCGTGAGTCGCAAGTGGCGAATATCATGATGACGAAGAACAAAAAAAAAAAAAAAACATAACTAAATATAAATGAGGAAAGCAAGGAATGGAAAAATAAAGTAGCACTTGCTACATGATTTAAGTAACAGTTATAATTATGTTTTGTTCATATATTTAACATTTCATTCGTGAAGTCATAAATCTTCATCTACGAATCGTAGCTCTGATTTTTTTTTTGTTGTTGGCTCGTCTGCTTCTTGAATGTACAACAGTCAAATGTATTAGCATAGACACAGCACTTTTTATTCAAGTTGACTGCGTTCCCCGTGCTGTGACCTATAGAATGTGTTTTTTTTTATTCAAAGCATAACGCACGCGAACAATCGGCCAGTGAGACCCTTTCAAATACAAGTGGCAAAACACTAAATATAGTGATACTTTGATACCTTTGATTTGTTACTTTGAGTAATAACTGTTTGAAAACTTGAAGAAAATCAAAATTATCCACTTTGCAAAAGTTCGGTATAATCATTGTATGTTTAGTTTGTTATTAACGTGTTTTTTTTACATTTTTGATTGATTTTGGCTGTGGTCAAAAATTTACTTTCATTTTTGATGTAGAAAAATTAAAAAAAAATACCGAGTTGAATTTGATCAAGTGGCCCAGTGACTCATGATAACAACTTACTTTTCGACGTGTGTGATCAAAATCAAAAATTCATCGTGTATCACTCAATTGTTGGTTACGTTCCTCCATCATCTGCAAGGTACAATTTGCGTTCTTTTTTTGTTTTTGTTTTTATTTTATCTTTTTTCTTGCAGATGTATAACAACAACGCAAGAGAAAACAATACAAATATTTGCCAAATTATATGGATCTTGTTCTTGAACTGATTTCAAACTAGACGTGCGGTGCTCGTGTGCCAAAAGTGGTATACACAGACACAGCCAAAGTTAGTGTTTGGCTCGTCATAAAAAAATGCAGCCGCGTACACTTACGTGGTTCGTCGCTGCTCTTCGCAAAAGCACTTATACCTACAGTTCTTCAGAATGAGTTAAGAATATTTGAGATTAAACTGGTTCTTGATTGTATAGTGAATTTTTTAATAATTTTTAAAAAGTACTGCGTAATTAAATTGACAATCGACAAAGTATAATTTGAATAAAATATTTTCATATTTATTATCGCTCTTTGGATTAATCGGATGAGTATGGAAACAACATAACGAAGATGCGAGAAGTTTCTCAAAGTTCGATGTGGTATTCATACATAGATGATGCACAACTTTAACTGGAAAATGTTAAGGATGATTGAATAGTGCGACCACAAAGTCAGACAAAGTTTAGCGAAACTTTTATTTGTTTTAAGTATGAAAAAAACCTCTCACAGTAATGGAGTGCCGACAAGGAAAAACGCTACGTATCGATGATTACCATCGTCATTATTATCAATACTCTATGTTTTAGCAAATTGTAAACAATAAATATTTATGAACTTGATTCTGATGTAGCAGATACAACCTAATAACATACACTCACACACATATTCGTTCACTCTCTCTTTCATTCGTTTTCTTCTCATTCACTTGAATGATTTCACTGAAACGTATACTGTGAATCATAAAGTCATAAAATGAATAAATCAAATATGCGTATGGACTGTCGGCGAACTTTGCATCTAATCGAAACAGAAAACGATTGATTGCAAAATGTGAGAATGGTGTTCAAATACGATTACAATACCATTGGATTGCTATTTTATAACCTGAAGACATTTTGATGTTGTTTCTCTTTTATATTCTGAATTTCTCATCGCATGTACATGCGACATGTTGACATTGTTGCCGAATAAATATTCTTCGTTCGTACCCAAGATGCTGGCTATTCAATGGTCGATTCACAAAGTGATTTGATTTATCTTGTGAATTAGAATATAACTTATTCCCTATAAATCGTCGAATAAATCTGAATCGATGATTTTTATGACGTGAACTGAAGACAATAAAAGGGAGGCAATTCTTTCGTCAATGGCCGGGGCAACAAAACATAACTAATTTTGTAAATTGACAAAGCGTGGCTAAATTGAGAATCAAGTGTTCATATTAATTCAACAGGTTTGTAAGCGTGATCGTTTCACATGAGCACATCGTTGATATCTTTATTGAAAGTGTAATTTTTTTTATTTATTAAAGAATAACATTGGTTTTTTCCCTTTTATTTTTGTAAAGTTCGAAAGAGGTGGAATGAAATAGCAGATAGCCAAAAGGCAAAAATAGTGAATAAATATAACATGAAATACAATCGTTTCAATTCATCTAAAACGACACCATATCTGTGAATCGTGTCATGAATCATCATAACCGCAACTGATAAAAGTTTACGATAGGCATACATTTTGAAGGTTATTCAATGCACACAGAGAAACACAGCATAATGCGTTAAAATGCCGATTATTTGAACGATGTCGATGTCGGAAGAAAGATGTACACGTGAACCAACGACCATAATTTTTGCTCAAACGAATTGTGGTGATAGCAAGTTAGGCCGTCTTGCGCATCATCTTATGCTTTTTTTAGAATTCCGTTCCATTTCTTGGGGTTCTTTAGTTCATTGTTATAAAATATATATGCGTCGTCGCCAATGTGCATATCGAGTAAAAACCGCCAAAGTGTTTGTGTGTGTGTGTGTATAGTGTGGATGAAAAGTGCGAACGGGGCCAAATTGGAATTTTCAGTTGGACGTTTGCGTCGTTGATAGAGAACGAATCGGTATAAAGAACACAGAAAGTACGAAAGGTATTGCACAAAGAAAGATTATATTATGCTATAGTATTGTTGAAGACAGGAATTATTATTTATAAGAGAAAAGAATGGATTCAAGGAAAAGATGAAAAACCGTTTGGATCAAAGAGACCGCCGCGCCAGAGTGTCTGTGAAAAAGTGAATAACTTACATACCGAGCTCCCATATGCATATTGCATATTTTGGTGTTGTATCGTTTTGCAACTTTGATTCCTGTTTCAGTTGTGTTCTTTTGATGGTCCTCGCTTCTCTGTCTCTATCTCTGTCTCTTCATCACTTTTTTTTCTCTTCAGTTTGATGTTGATGGAGTTTCTCATTAGGTACATTCCGTTCGATTACTGTTTTTTTTTTTGCTCTGAACTTTCAACAATATCACATCATTTTTCCATATCTGAAGTGAACAAAACTCAAAATGTGTAGCATTTTATGTTGCTGTTGTTGGCTGTTGGCTGTTGATCGATCCAGCATCACTTCTATTCGCAAACAAGCCAAATGGAATGTACACATGTGTATATAATACGTAAAACATTGATCGACTGGCTGTTTTGCGTTCGAGTGTGCAGTTATAACGTAGATTAGTTACTCGTGTGGGCTGTTTGTAAATTGTGAACTGAAATAATATTTCCTTTCATTTTTCTCTCTCTGTGTGTGTATCTGTCTCTGTTTCTTGTTCGTTCTATCCTTCTCCATAAATGCGGCAATCTGCACACACAAATTACAATTTAAATATGATTTTTATGCCTTTCTGTTCGCTGTAATCGGTGTGTATT